TATGTTTATTAATCTACACACCTAAGTGAAGCTGTGTTGAGCAGGATCCATTTGTAGTTCTGCAGAGTTGAGTGTAAGTCACCTTTGCAGAGGGAAGTCTGTATGTTTCATTTGAGGGGATACAGGAAGTAAACTTGATGAATATACAGCAGTGTACTCTCCTATTTCAGGCAACAATGTATTACTGGCCAGTGACAGCTCAGACCTCATCTCTGAGGTGTGCTGCAGCATCTTCCTACTAGAAATCGAATTATGATGTCTTGAGTCATGGCGTCTCATACAAATTTAAGTGCACGGTGCCTGGCACAAAGGCCTCTGAGAACATTGCTGTAACAAAAATAATGTCTGCGTTTTTATTGTACTTGCCAAGAGGGCTTACATATTCCTAATGTATTCCTCTTCTCAGTATAAATTTCTCTGCTTTGCAGATAGGTTTAACCCATTTTCATCTGCACAGACTGGATGGTAATTTTTTACTGGATTTGTTTTTTTTCCACTGAAGCATGAATTTTAAGAGAAATGGATACTATCCTGAAGGGAAAGCAGTGTTCTAAACTGAAAGATTACACAGATAGCTAATGAATGTAAACATTGACTGAAATCCTGATTTTAATATTTAAAGATTTCAGATTTTAAAACTTTTGAGAATATGTGAAGTAGAGGTGCTTAGGAGAAAGTGATAGTAAATTCTGAAGTTCTTTGAGAGAATACAAATACTATTTGCCCTTTATACTAATAATAAATTATAAGATAAAGAGCTCCAGGCATTGTACTGAAGTGTGTAGATAGTAGCAGTTAGTAAGAAACTAAAAAATTCATTTTTAGGGACTGTGTCTCTTATTTTTGGCAACTTTTTTGCTTAACCTACCAGCTCTCACAGTTATCACTTGAAAATTGTAAATCAGTTCATCGTGATGTTAAGAAATGAAATATTAAAGCAGTGGTGAAAATGCTTGAATTTGGTGGTGTAATGTTTGCATTTCTAGAAACAAGTGTCTTTCCTAGTAACTGCAGTGGAAAATTTCAGTAAAACTGTTTTTAAATTGGTATCTCCAGAGTAGTGCTGTTCAGTGTTGTACAGTGTGATCATCATTAAATATTTAAAACTGTAGGCTTTCAGTCTGTTTCTTGACTTGCTTTCTGTTCAGTGGTTTTGACATTGCATAACTGTAATTGTTCACTTGTTGAAGTAGCTGTGGAATTAAAATCTTAGCACAGCTGTTAATTCAGTCCATATGTAAATTGTTTGAAGAGACTAAATCTAGAACTATCAGCAAGTAATTACCGAATCAGCAAGCTGACAGGATGCACGTAGAGATATGAATCTAGGGAGTCTCTGCTTTAAGTTTATATCACAAATGAAATCACTGGACTCTTACATCAATAGTGAAAAGGAACTGTATATCCCATACTCCAGGCAACATTCTCCTGCATAGGAATTAATTCCCTTATTCCAGTAACATTTTATGGTGTCCTTGTTTTTCTCTAGTGGTACTGACTTGCAAGAATCAAAGATGGCATGTAATGGTTTGCCAAAAAAAAAAAAAATCAAACATAAATTACATGGGGTTTCTGAAGTTATGTTTCTTTGATTTCTTTGATTTGCCTGGCCAGAACTTCTGGTGCTTAGCAAGATGGCTAGGTACAGTGTTTGGACATTGGTGATGAACCACTGGTGTTGATTTAATGTGTGATATTCCTGTGGCTAATCTGCCCAGATTCAAGTATATGTCAGTTAGGATACATGAATAGTCACTGGGGTACTTTCCATGAAGGGTAACCTGTGATCAGTGTTACATTCTTAGGTGTAAAAAATATCTCTTGCAGTGGGGAGCCCGGAGCTCTAGACAGTCCCCTGCAAGTGTCTCACCAATGCTGAGCAGACAGGAAGAATGACCTCCCTTGACTTGCTTGTAATGCTTTTGCTAATTCAGCCCATGTGACTGTTGACCATCTGGGTCACAAAGGTACACAAGGCTTATGATCAGTTTGATGTCTGCCAGCTCTCCAGGGTTCTCTGACAAGCTGCTTTTCAGCCAGTCAGCTCCCAGCACATAGTGGTACATGGGATTATTCTCTACAGTGGGAGGACTCTGATTTTCTTGAACTTCTTTGAGTATCCTGCTTGCCCAATTCTCCAGTCTCTTGAAGTCCCTCAGGATGTCTGGTCTGTCAGCCACTTGTCCAGGTTTTGTAACATCTGTAGAAGTTTCTGAGTGTGCACTGCCCCATCATCTAGAGAGGATGTTATCCGGTGCTGTATCCAGTATCGATGGAGGCCAGTGACGAGCCTCCAGCTGAACTTCATGCCACTGATTGCAGCCCATTGAGCCTGGTAGCTCAGCTGTTTTTCAGTCTCATCACTGCCCCGCTCAACTTTGTATGTATTTACAGTATCACAGAATTGTCCATGCAGACATTGGGTATGTACTTAATGTGCACTTGGTGAGCATATTTCAGGAGAGTGTCAGGTCTCTGTACAGGTGATATAAACAACATCCACTGTTCTACCGTTGTTCACCAAAGCAGTCATATTACCTCACAGATCAATTTACTTTTACTTTTCTTTGCTTTTTATGTGCCTCTCTCTTAGTACAGATCACAGCTGGTTTTTTTCTACTTATTTTTACTTCCTCAGTTTTATTCTATCTCGTGTGTCAAATTAGAATGATTTTTGACAGTTAGGATTGGGCAACTGCTTGGAAACTTCCAGTTACTGCATTGGACTACTTAGAAAGTGGAGCTGTTTGATCTATCAGCATCTGTAGGAACTACTTCTAGAGTGAAATTTAGATACTTTGGATACTGGGAAAACAGTGGCACCCTAAGCTGTGTATGACTTAAGGGTTTTGGCATGCCTTTGGTATATTATATTCATACAGACTTATTTTGTCCTGTTTGAAAAGAGTCTGTGAGGCTTATACTCTATAACCTCAGTTGCGAGTACCTGCAAGAGTGAATGTGTAGAAAAGTGGCTTTGTAACAGGTATTTATTTAAGTTCAGAGCTATTGTAAAGTCCATAATACTGTCTTAATCTACAGCAAACCCTGAGGGGTTTAGTTTCTCAGTAGTGAAATGTTGTTTGACCAGCAGTTGCAGAGCTGTTTTGTTAATGTTTTTCTTCCTTCCTTAGCTGAAGGTTACTCCCAGGAATTTGAAATTTTCTCCAGAGGACCAGACAAAATGTATATGGGAAGAAAAATGTCTTGACGACTTTAAAAAGGATTGGCTAGGACACTATTCAGTGTATCGCAATTCCAAAGATAATTTAAAACCATAAACCAGTTCATTGTATTCAGTTATAAATGGACTTTATTGCTATCCCTGCCTACTACATACAGTTAAATTCTGGGGTGCTGGTGGAAGGGTTCCTTTTGAAAGCAAACATAGAATTAGCTGTTCAGAACTCCTTGGTTTTGCTAATACACGAATTTGCTGTGTCTAGTCCCATTCCCAGGGCAGTCTGTCTGCATTCTTTGGCCTTCAGTCTCCTGAAAGTTATCCTGACAAGTTCTGAGGCATGGAACTTTGTTTCTTAAAGAAGCTCAAAGCCAAATGGGCAAGTTGGGCAAGTTTGTTCATTCTTAAGCTGTTATATTTCTCTAGCTGGTAGAAATGGGTAGCCATCACTGTCCCTGCTGTTTCTTTGGCTGAATGCAGGCAAGCTTTACTGTCTGTTTTGCTCTAACTCTGAACACAGGTCTTCAGCTCTTGCATGGCTGTCATGTGGAAAGAACAAGGCAGCGTGGCTCACAAGGCTCTGTGTTGGACAGCTAAAAGTTTTTTAGGTCAGCCCTGTTGAGCCAGCACAAAGGTACCTTGCATAAAGCCTCTGGGTAAAACTTAAAGGATCACAGCAGTGTTCAGGGTAGTGCTTGTTTAGTCTCCAGTGTGCTCTCTTTTGTTTTGCTTCCATAGGAGTCTTAGGAGTCTACTGATCTGCATGAAAATGAGACAGGAAGGATTTGCAAAGAAATGTCAAAAAGAGTCAGGCAAAAGACAGATTGACAGAATCAAATTTCAGCTGCCCAGTGTTAGGTAATAGTGCAGGCTAATTGCAGGGGAGGGAAGGAAAGGAGATAAATCTGACTAGTCCTTTTTTATTTTTGTTTTGCACAGTGAGAACCCCAGATAAAATTATTCTGTTATGTTCAAGAAGAACAGATGTTCTTTTAATCATTCCTGCAGTAAGCATAGCACCACTTGTACAGACTTCAGCAGAAAGTAATGAACATGCTCGTTTTGTAACATGTGTCTAAAGGTTGAAGGATATACTTGATCATCTTAAAATATTTCTGACTGACACTTGGAGGCAGCAAGTATAAAATTTCTGACCAAAAGGGTCTGAGAATTTCACTGTTGACATTTGGTTATAAGACTTCTATGTTGCTGCAACTGGCAAGCTGCTGATGAACAGTCAAAATAGAGGTTGGATTCCTACTTCTACCATTCATTCTGAGACCTGTGAAAGTGATATAGCAGAGTTTATCTTGACCTCATGAGTGATTGTGTCATTTGACAGGATGCTCAACACACGTACAAAGGGCACAGCACTTGAAAACCATTTGGAAACCTTTGAGTGCTTTGGACTGCCTTTCTGTGCTTTTGGTCTAGATACCACACTGAAATCTTAAATTTTTTGTATGTTTTATGCTTTTTAATGAAAATTAAAAAGAAGACATTCTTGGAACTTCTTAAATTTGTCTTTTTAATCTTACAGTAAGCTAAATGAGAACATTTTCTTCACCAGGTCTTGCTGGAGCATGTACCTAGGTTTTTCTCATTTATTTAAAAGTACTTCTTCAATTACAGGGAGTCCATTGTAGTCAGCTTCTCCTACATGGTCTATGTTGCATTCCTTCTGAATTTTCAGAAGCCAGCTCTAGAAAAATAAATCTAAAAGCCCAATGTCCCAGGTTCAGAACAGATGACTGTCCTATTTCATCTGGTTTTAAAGTGTTGGTTTTCTAGGGGTTTTTTTGTTTGTTTTTTCTCTAAGGTTTCCTATGCGCGACCAAGTTCAGCCTCTATCAGAGATGCAAATTTGTATGTTAGTGGACTTCCAAAAACAATGACCCAGAAAGAACTGGAACAGATCTTTTCCCAGTATGGACGCATTATTACTTCGCGTATCCTGGTTGACCAAGTCACTGGTAAGTATGCAGTTTTGCATGGCCTCTCCTTTTTGGACTGGCAGTTTAAAAAATATTTCATCTATCAGTACAATGGTCTTGTCTTTATAATGTAGACCAGAAAATGCGTTTTTCTCCTGGAATTGTTCATAAATATGCATGGGCAAAAATAGACTGTGAAGTGTACTGAGCCAGCTTGAGTCATTTCCACCCTGAAGGTGCAGGTTTGAAGACTGTTCGATGACTTGTACTAAATTTACAGCTGCTATAATCTTCCTTTCCAAGCTGCTGCATGAAAATAGTCTCTCAGCGCCTTACAAAATGCTATTAAACTTTATTTTTCTGAAAAGAAAACTTTATGCAGAAATGCACAGCTGGTTCTCTGAGGCTAGGATTATGGAAGACCCACACTTGTAATTGCTGCTAAGACTGTTTTCAGGGTTGACTCATTAACTTTGGGCATATGCGTGAACTTTGAGTTCCTCAGGAGCAGATAAATTCTGTGATTAGCTGGGCCTTAAAGTACTGAGATGTAGCAAATTTATCTGCATTGTTACAGTATGTGTCTCAATCAGTGACTGGTTATCAGTGACACTGTCATTGCTCTTCAGTAATTACTGGACAGTAATGCATGTGTTTTTGCTGTCTCAAATGGCTGTTCCCTAGGAGCTTTATAATTTGCTGCGTCACCTGCTGTGAGGTCTTTTCCAGAAATAAACAACTAAGTGCGATACCAAGTACATGACAGAAGTATTCAGAGTACAAAGCAACATGCAAAGAAACAGGGCTGTCCAAATTCTCTCTTTCCAGAACATTAAGGATGTGGGATGGAAAAATTCATTTAATCACATCATTATTCCCTGAATAAGCTAGGTTTGACTTTTTTTTTTTTTTCCTATAGTTGTACCTTTTCAAAGTCAGATGTCCTTGTGTGTGAAAAACAGCTTTCAGCTCTGGGAAGTCAAACTTTTCAAACTGTCTTACTTTGAAAGGATTGTAGATGCTGGTGTTTGACTTTTGACTGACTTGTAGAGGAACTTCTATGTACTCCTTTGCAGTTCCACTAAGTTAAAAGAAACCTCGATATTGACACATTATACAGAGTGTTTTAATACTGTGAATTACTGAGATTGTAGAGAGGCGTGGAAAGGAAAACTAAAGATGAAATACTGATGAGTAGAAGTAGAAGATTTGTGGGTCAGATTTCCAGTCTTTGTGCAATAGTCATTTACAGTATGTTCCTGTATATTCTTGCATCGGGCAGATAACTAAGCTATTTCTGTGAATTTAGGTATGGCAGAGTAGTGTAAACTGACCGGAGGTTACAGTGCAGCTGGTTCTGGGTTCATCTCCATCCTCACCAAAATTGCTTTGTTTCAGCATTCCTCTTTGGTTCACTATGTTTGTTTCCCCTGTTTTCCCTCAACCCTCCAAGCTTTTTGCACAAATGAGTCTTGCATGGGTTAAATTAAAAACAAAAATAAAAATTACAGTAGAAAATTCTTATTCTGAGCCAAAAGTTAGTTCTTTTAAGCTCAAAATTTGTCATGTGTTCACAGCAATTGACCATTAACATAGCAATTGGCCTTGAATATAAAATGTTAACAACTAATATTCTGGTGTCTCTGAATTAACCACAATATGCTTCCTTCACATTGTGCAGGGGTATCAAGGGGCGTGGGTTTTATCCGGTTTGACAAGCGAATTGAAGCAGAAGAAGCTATCAAGGGCATGAATGGCCAGAAACCTCCAGGTGCCACAGAGCCCATCACTGTAAAGTTTGCTAACAATCCAAGCCAAAAAACCAATCAGGCTGTTCTTTCCCAGCTGTACCATTCTCCAAACAGAAGGTATCCAGCACCTCTGGCTCAGCAGGCTCAGCGTTTTAGGTAAGTCAGATAATGTGTACAAGTGTGCTGAAACTCGCATGTTCCCACAGACGTGCTTGTTTGCCTCCACTTTGGCGCTTTCCCGCTTGTCTGACTTGTGTGTGAGGGAAACACATGAATGCTGAAGTTTAGCTCTGCTCCTACAGTACAGCTAAAACCAAAAATGCATGCCATTCTACTGATAGCATTTCACTGTCTAATAAACCTACTTAGCTAAAGTGACATCTTTTTCTTCTACTCGAACACTAAAAATTTTTTCAAAGATGACTTTTCGTTTTCTAGATCATTCTCGACTAATGCACAAGTTGATTCAGTTAACATTGACCTAGGTAGTTTAGTTTTCTTCTAAGCCATACAGCATACTGCAGCTAGCCTTTTTTCCCCCACCCTCTATTTTTCTTCCCCGTTCAGGCTTTGGTTTTTTTCCTTGTCAGTTGTCTAAGCCCTCCATGCCACACTTTATCTTATTACAAATTTTCATAATGAAGATTATTTAAATATTTTTTGCTTGTGTTTTTTGGAGATATGTGTTCCCATCACATTGAAGCTACAGCCACATAGTTCCCTGTGATACTTATTGTGTTGAAAAGGAAGGATAGATGGTGAGAAAAAAAAGCAAAACAAATACTGTATTATCTACATTCATGAGTACCTTGGATTTTGTTTCAGTGATTTTGATTGTTTCTTTCCTCCCTCTGCTCCTAAAGGATGTGACTGGAATGTGTTAAACAATAATACATTCAAGCAGTTTATATTTTATTTTTTCAAGAAATAAAATCAACTGGCAGTTTTCTTCAAAGAGAATGTACCAAATTTTGAAAGCTCTGCGTTGGCTTCCCTCACTTATAGGCTGAATATTTAGAGTTCATGGACTGCACTTCGGTCAGAATTTCTGAATTCTCTTTTTCAGTTTTTCAACCTTATGTGCTGCATCTCACAGATGTGAAGAGCAGGCTGTCTATCGTAAGGGAGGGAGTAACCAGTTTTACTACTTGATGTATTTCCATACCATTTCTTAGGGAATAAAAGGGTTACTTTAGAACAGTGTGCTGAAGACTACATAAAAGTAATCTTGCCATTGTTCCATAGGCAGAGTATAGGGACAGAAGTTGCAGGATGGACTCGAGTGCACTGTGTCAAGTAGGATTGTGGGGGAGCTGTTGTACAGCCTGTGTGTTACATCATATTCTGGGAAGTCTTGCCCTGCTGACTCCTTGAGTTCAGCTGAACACATGTGTTCACGGATGCTCATCTTTGTTCAGTTTTACTTGGGTGCTGACTGGGGTAGCATCTGTATTTAACTGATACTCCAAGTGGATCTATCACCGTTAGTAGAAGTGCTCCAACTTCCAGAAGTTTTGTGGGGTTTTTTTTAAGTAATTTCCACAGACTCCCTCTGCCCCTAAGCTTTAGGCTTTTGTTGATTGGTGGAGGCTTATTTTTGTTTAAAAGGAAGTGTATTTTTATGAATGTCACTGGCAAGTTGGTTTTTCTTCTGAGATATTCAGTGTAAAGTAATGCTTTAAACCATCTTAAGAGATACTGTGATATGGTCCACATTACAAGTATAATGGTAACAAAAAACACTGAATAAGTACCAAGTCTGTAGTAAATAGGAGAGAAAGAATAAAATCTTTTATCAGTGTCAAAGGAAGGAAAGGGTTTAACTGACTGGTCCAAACGTAAGCTGAAGTTGCAGACAAAATTTTTTTTCTTTTTTTGTGAAAACCTTAAGCCTTATCCTTCTTCACTAAAACTCTTTTCAAGTTTTTAATTATTTTAACTGTAAAGGGAAATCATCTTTTCTTGGTTTTTGGGTCTTTGCTTTGCATTGCTGCAGCATTCCAGATCAGGTGCTGACTAGATAGTTGGCACCAGTGCTTCAGATATGTTACATGTGAGAGAAATCTTAATTCTTGATATTTCAGACAGGCAACTTCAGAAGGAGTCGCCCCTTCTCTGTTAACAGTTGACAGAGGCCTGCAAACAATCAGCATAAACTTAAGTAGTAAAACCAACAGGATCAATGCTTCTTTTTTTTCTTATTGAGAGAAAACCTTACCTGGGGACTTTCAGAAGCTGCTCTATGTAATTGTTCTATAGGGTGTATAGCTTAAAGCATCTTTAAAAGTTTCCATTAAAAAGTCTCTGAGAGTTTTTTTAAAATATTTTCAAATCTTCAGGGTAACCGATAGAAAATCATACAAGTGATTCTATTACTGTATGAAGTCCTCAGCTGAGTGGTCTATACCAGGGACCTGTAAGTGATGGTGTTTATAGAACTCTTCACCTTCCTCTTCCACCGTAGGATGTCAATGACAGTAGATCTCTGTCATCCACACTGAGTGTACTGATGGTAGTCGTGCATTTTTTTAATTTCCTCTTTTCTACTCTTTCAGGGGTTTGGTGGCTTATTTTCTTGACAGTGTATTACACAAACCTGGCTTAATGCAAATCTATAGTCTGAGAAAACTGAGTCAACTGTACTTTTTTTTTTAACCCAGGCTCATATTTTGTGGAGTCCTGAAGAAAATCTATAATAAGACTTTCTCTTTCCGTGTCTGGAAATTTGCCAACAAGAAACAAGAGCTTCTTCAGGGTAGACATTTTCCTAAAGAAGCATTTTGAGGGACTCCATGAAAAAGAGTAATAGGAGTGGTAGGCACTGTGTGGCCAGCTAATTTCAAAGGGTTTAGCAGTTTAGCAGCTTGGGGTAAGGTGAGGTAACAAATACATGGAGAAAGCTTACAGTCTGACCTCTGTGTGAGTGTGTATATATAATCCACCTGGGTGGGTTACCTTACTACAAACAAAAAGTGAGTTTGATAAGCAGGACTTTCCTCTCATGAAGTTGTGCTAGCTGTGACCAATGTGTTATCTTTTAGGTGTTTTTCAATACATTCCAGAATAATTCCTCTCTGTAATATTACAAGGCGCTGAAGCGAGACTGACAGGCCTGTAATTTCCAGGGTCAACCTTCTTGAAAACTGGGACACTGTTAGCCAGAAAGGTCAACTGGGACCTTTCCATATTCCCAAGAGCATTCAGAAATTGAGAGAGAGGCCTCACAATGACATCAGCCAGCTCTTTTAATGAGTATTCTGGAATGAATCCCATCAGGCCCCATAGACTTACAGGGATCAAGTTGGAGCAACACATCGCACACAAGTTCAGAGTTCATAATTCTCACAACCATGTTCCTCCAGCTCAGGACACTGAGACCTTTTTAGCCCCATTATCATTGTTGAAGACAGGCAAAGAAATCATTGAACATCTCTGCCTTTTCTTTGTCTCTGTTAGTGAGGTGAACATCTTCATCCTGTAATGGTCCGATGTTATTTTTGGTCTGGTCTTTGTGACTGACATATTTAGAAAAGCACTTTTTATTGTCCCCCACATTTCTGGCCAGTGTCAACTCCAATTAAGCTTTGTCTGCACAAATTTTCTCCCTTCACTGGCAAGTAGTGTCTTTGTATTCCTCCCAGATATTATTACCCAACTTTGCTTCCACTGTCCATATGCTTGCTTTTTGGCAAAAAGGTAAGCTCCAAAAACCCTGTTGAGCCTAGCTAGCCTTCTGACTCACCTGCTTGACTTTTTGGAATTATCAAAAAGAGTAAGAAAATAAAAAATCGTTTTTGCAGCTTACGTTATGACGTTTGCTACTGCTCCAGAGTACTGCGTCTGTCACAGTAGTCATACGTGCAGTCGGAAGCCTCAGTAAAACTCTTCATCTAAACCAAGTTAGTAATGTGGAAAACTTAACTAATGTGCTCACTGACTGTATCTTAATGCTAACACTGTTTGACTTAGGCTACACTTGTGGTGGTGGTACACTTTATGAAATGAACTTTTTGTGGTTGTGGTTACTACCCAAGAACTATTTTGTATTCATTAACTGTATCAGGTGTAGTAAGGTGGGACAGCTCTTTCAGTGGTGATACATTAACATTGCTAGAGGTTCTGTAGAGTATAATGGATGTGACCATAATATACTAAGTTTCCTTAATCTTAAAGGATAGAAAAGTCTGAAGACTGAACATGTTGCTAAATGTTTTGCAGGTTGGACAATCTGCTCAACATAGCTTATGGAGTAAAGAGGTAAAAAAGAACTATTTGGTTCATAATAACCAAATTATTTTGAAGTATTTTGCAAATTCTTTTCAGTAAGACTTACGTTGGATTTTTGCATGTTGAGACTTCAGCTGAGATTGTTCATTTTGTTGCATTGTGCATGAAATAAATAAACCTTTTGTAGCAGTTTCACGGAATTCCTGTTTCAAATTACTAATCCTTACTGGGTTTATAGCATGCTTTCCTTTTGATTTTCTACATTACATCATCTCAGACATACCTAGCACTGTTCTCCCTACTTGAGTATATTTTTTTTACCTGGTATTTGTGCAGTTGGGGGGTAGAAAATGTATGTAATGTTACCTTATTAGCCTGAGCAACACATTCCTTGTGGAAAAAGCTCTGTATCATTTTCTTTTTTATTTTGACATTTCTTTGCTGGGATTTTGTGTGAACAGCCACCTTATGATTCTGTTTTGCTTTCCCTCATTCATCAGTAGGTTTCCTCCAATGACCATTGATGGAATGACCAGTTTGGCTGGAATTAATATCCCTGGGCATGCAGGAACTGGGTGGTGCATTTTTGTGTACAACTTGGCCCCTGATGCTGATGAGAGTATCCTCTGGCAAATGTTTGGACCCTTCGGAGCAGTAACCAATGTGAAGGTCATCCGTGACTTTAACACCAACAAGTGCAAAGGTTTTGGATTTGTGACTATGACAAACTACGACGAGGCAGCTATGGCAATAGCCAGCCTGAATGGATACCGCCTTGGTGACAGAGTGTTGCAGGTCTCCTTCAAAACAAACAAAACGCACAAAGCCTAACAAGTTATTCTCAGTGCATTAATACATGAAAACTATACAACAAAGGCAATTTACAGGAAGCTTTAGGCGTTAGTAAATGCCTTTGTTGTATGTCAGTGTGGAAATGGGGATAAAATGACTACTTAGCATCCTAAGAATATATGTGATTTTTTTAATGCTAATATTTGAATTAGAACTTCTTAACTATCTTTTGTGTTTGAATATTGAGAAGAGGTACAGGGTTTTTACCTGTTACAATGCATATTCTATTGCCTTCTTTGAAGAAGGTGGACCTTTTAAAATGTTTCAGCTAAGGGAAAAAGTTTTTTCTTTATACATGACTGCCTTGAACCTATGAGTAAATACTGAGGCTTTGTGTAGTAGTTCAAGTTGGTTTTGTTTTTATTTCTTGATTTGCTTTGTTTAGTTTACATTGTAATGCTTTGTTGTTTTGGTTTGTTGTTCAAGAAAAGTATCTGAAGTTTACATTTTATTTATAAAGTTGTAAGCAGTATTTATTTTATAATTATCATTTGGGTTGGGGAATGGGAACACATTATAAAAGCTTATTGTAAGAATACTGGAGAACTTTTCGTAAAGCAGTACCTTGCCAAAGAGATAAGAACCTCTTTGATGTGGGTTTAGAAAAAAAAGCATCTATTTTTGTAAAAAAAAAAAAAAAATTTGGAGAAACTTTTTACTGGTCCTGGAACAAATATTTTGACTTGAATACTTTGAGAAATCTCTTCATATGACACCTAGTGAGCTTTTAAAACTTACCAGGAAATTTGCAGTTGTTGGGAAAAATTTAGAAAGATTTATGATGTAGAAATACTTTGGAGACCTTTGTTTTAAGAAGTAAAGTCAATGGGATGCACTGTTGGTTTCATTTTTTGTAATCATCAGTGGAGTCATTGATCATCCTGGTTATTAAGTGATAGCTGGCTCACATTAATTTGTGATTTTGAAACAAGTGAAAATTTAAAGAATATAAGAGCAAGCAGAAAACTTAAAATACTGAGAGATGGGGGAAAAAAAAATCTGTTCTTCCTAAAGAATTCCCTTCAGACAGAGCTCATGGTGTTTAGTGATGTACTTGCTATTGTTTGAAGAATTGTTTTGTCTTAAAAGACATTGAGCATGGTTTGCTCAGTAGCAAATCAGCAGAAGTGGCTTGAGTTGGGTATGTTAGGAGGTGTTTTGAAGGTTAAGTTCAAGGCTAACACCTGAGCTTTGTGTAATGTAAATAAGACCTTAGTTATGAACCTTTCAGCCAATTTTGATTTTGGTTTATTTTTTAAGTTACATGCCAAGTGATGTTCAATTTTGAATGTTTTTGTATGAGTTTTTTCTTTGTAAATGGCATTAACATTGTTACTTGAGGTCTGCTTTTTTTTTTTGCCTTTTTTTTTTTTTGTCCTGAGGACTTGAATTTACAGTGCATCAGATCTGTTGCTCTTTTTGTCTGTAGATAGTCTAGCTTCAGCTGTTTATGGTGATGCAACATTTTTGTTTATAAATATGTTTGTGGTAAAAAGAAAAAAACAAGTATAAACATATGTTTTGAACAAATTTCCTTACATTTTTCATATGAAAACCATAAATACCTGTATGCTGTTGAAGTTTAACTTTGTATGATGCTTAAATCACTATTTGGGGAAATATAAAAAAATCTTTACCATGTATCGAAGAAATTTAAGGAAAACAAATACAGAATATTTTCTGATTAGCATCTAGCTTATAATAAAATTTTTAAAAAAGAAAGCTGAGGCTTTGATGCCTTCACCAGGATGCACTGACAACTATGTAGTTACGTCCTGCTTTTGTATAAACTGAGATGCTCATACGCTTCCCCTTAGAAAAAGCAATGTTCTATGCATAACATAGTTGTACACTATCTTTGCAGTTGGTTTTGGTTCTTATTCATTTAAATTGTAGTTATAAAATTTTCAGTATAGTACAGTACATATACTGTGAAGCGCGTGCTAAAGTGAATAAGCGAGTTTTCATGCTGACCCACTTAATGCTATTCAAAAATCAATTGGCTTCCTGAGCACTTCCTCATTCTTAGGTGCATTTAGATTGTTAAAGCTAATCCTCTGCATTAAAAGTTGTATATAGTATATAAATGACAGACTTTCCAATGTGGGGAAAAACAGTAGCTACATGCTTCTTTCCTATACTAATGTAGCAACTAATGGCATTGATGAGAAGGCATGTAAATTGGGCTTCACTTTACAGTGTTTATCAGAGCACTTAGTAAAATATAAGGCTGGTATTTATTTGAAGTTGTATAGTATGACTTAATTCACATTTGTTGGAATAGAGAATATATTCTGTTGAGTATTTAAGAGGTTGTACATGTTTTCTTTTGTGTTTGAATTCTTTGTACTTTTTCATGTTCAGTACATCAATAAACAAAGTTGAAGGGATAACAGTGTCATGAGCAGGTCTTTTACAATACTGTCCACTGCTTTGAGGAATAGGCAGTCTGAGTGAAATGTTTCTTTTTGCAAAGCTCTTGAGCTACTTGTAAATTAGCTTAGGATTGTAGTTACCAACAAGGTAAATAGGTATGGTGCTTTGGATGTGGTAAGGCAATCTTGATGATTAGGACAAAGGTCCTTCTCCAGCAGAGGTGTTGCCAAGTCAAGAAAGGACTACACATCCTGCCAAGTCCAGTTTCATGAGGAAAAAAAAGAGGGATTGTAGTGGTACATGATTCCCTTCTAAGGGGAACAAAGATTCCGATATGCTGGAAGGACCCTCACCTCAGAGCAGTCTGCATTCCTGGGGCCTGGGTTAACAATGTCACCATGAAACTTCCTAGCCTAGTTCAGCCTTGAGACTTCTACCTGTTACTGGTCCTCTATGTGAGTGGTGACAAAGTGACAACACATAGTCCAAAAGCCATCCAAAGTATTCAAGGCCTTGGTATAGTTAGTAAGGGAATCAGGTATGAAGGTTTTTTGTTTTGGGTTTTTTTTTTTTTCTCTTACTTTTCCAGGTACAGGTAGTGACACTGAAAGAAACAGACTGACCCAGTCCATTAAAACACAAGTCTGTGGCTGATATCACTGCCAGATTTGTGTTTTCTTTGATAATGGGATGGTCCACATAGCCAGGGCATGATGAATTCAGGTGGGATTTGCCTCAAAAGCAAAAGAGGACTAGTGGGGCTTATTGATAAGGCTTTAAACTGGATATGATGGGGGAGGGAAATATTTTTTAATCAGTTTTAATGGTGATAAGGTGTGTAATGGCACACCATCCCAATCATATCAGCTAGATGCCAGAGTCAGCGAGAGGGACCCAGAACCATGGAGGTGGTGTTGCCCTCTATGTCAATGACCAGCTTTGATACTTAGAGCTCTGCCAGGGGATGGATGAGGAGCTGAGTGAGAACCTGTGGGTCAGGATTAGAGGCAGGACAGGGATAGGTGGACATTACACTGGGAGTCAGCTAAAGGCTGTCTAAGGAAGAAGACTGAGCAGACAAGGCTCTTCACACACAGATAGGAGTGGCCTAGCGTTCACAAACCCTGGTCCTCATGGGGGACTTCAGTTACTCCAGTATCTGTGGAGGGACAACACAGCAGGCCACAAAGCTCTTGGATTAGGAGCTTCCTTTAATTCACTGATGGATAACTTCCTCTACAAGTGATGGAGGAGCCAACAAGGAGAGGTGCTATGCTGGATCTTGTTCTCACCAACCGAGAGGGCCTAGTGGGGAACATGAAGCACAAGGACAGCCTGGGCTGTAGTGACCATCAAATGGGGGAGTTTGGGATCCTTGAGGCACAGAGGAGAGCAAAGAGCAAGCTTACTACCCTGGACTTCTGGAGAGTGGACTTTGGTCTCTTCTTGGTAGAGTCAGGGGATAGAGCTCTGGAAGGAAGAGGCCCAAGAGAGCTGCACGAAATTATGAAGAGGAAATTCGGCAAGAATGGCAGGGGGCCTGCATGTATGAACAAGTAGCTCCTGGACAAACTTAAAACACAGCTTGCAGAGGGTGGAAGCAGAGACAGGTAGCCTGGGAGGAATACAGAGAGATGATTGGAACAGTCAGGGAGCTGTTTCACCTTGGTGAGTGGTGATTCATGTCAGGTAGATCATATTTAGGTCAGCCACCATCACTGTTGGCTCCACCACACGTGGTTCCCCCAACTCTAGAAATGTGCCCTGCTTGCTTCAGTCACCTGCACTGCCGCAGATGTGCCTATACCAGGGCTGTTTGCCTTGGTGAATGACAGTTAATAATCTTAGGGTTCCAACACTAACCTTTCTGTGACTTTATGAAGGACAGAGAGAGAGGATTTTCTCTTTATTTTGATGTCTGTGTGTTGTTTAATTGCTGCATTAGTTGAGTTGCATTGAGTTAACTATAGCTTGCTGGTTTTTTCCCTTCCCAACACTTGAGTTGACTAGCTTTAAAAGATTTACTTCAGCTGTCTGTTGCCTTTTTAAAGTACATACATGCTTTAATTCATATGCTTTGCTCAGTTGAATGAGAGTGAACTTCCACCAGTGAAAACACGATTCCAAAAGTGGCTTATGAAATATGGCTTTTATTTTTAACTGTTTTCTTTCACCCTCCCTTTTATATCTCTGCTGTGAGATTTTTCAATCAGAACCTTGTAGCGTGTGTTGTTGAGCATCACACTGCAGTGTGATGGAACTGAGTTTACTTGGATGATGGGATCTGTGAACAGCACACATAGATAATAGCACCTCAAGAGGTCAGTCATAGCCAGTGTTGATAAACTGTCTACTTACAGAAACAGTGTGTTCTGATGGCTTTTTATATGGTTATGTTCTTTGGTGGCTGGAGTAATGAGAGGATGCAAGACACTGTACTTGGCAGCAAATGAGGAGCTATATTTGGAATTCATATTCCAGGAGGGACATCTGTGTGTTCAGCTTGCACACTTTCACAGAAATAGCTTTTAGTTCTCAGCTTACGCCAATTTGAGTACAGCATAACTAGCCACAGTTGAATTATTTTGTTACATGGAAATGAGGACAAAATATGTTTATGTAAATTTCTTCAGTTTAAAATTATAACTGCTTTAGCTGCAGAGAAGCTGGCAGTCAAGGAGCAACACTAACATATCATTTATAAATGGAGTTACCCAGAGGAAATGTCATTACTGAAAAATACAGTTTAATGATGTGTAGCTGACCACGAGTAGGGAAACCTGATACAAATTTATACAAAGATAGTACTTTTTTTACTATAGTAAAGTTTCATGATAAAGCTAAAGAAGAAAATGTGAAGCTACCTTGTGCAGTTTGGTGGAGGACTGGTTCCTTTTGTATGTAAACAGTAAAGAGTTCTGGGAAAGTCTGTAAATGCCTGTGAGGGACCAATAGCGGTAGATAAGCTTGGAAACACAATCATGACAGAGGATGAGCTGTAATCGGAGGATCATGAGTGTTTGCTGGGGCATTTGTGCAAGGTTTTTTTTACTGCAAAACATGCTCAAGGCTTGTATAGACTTCTGCAAAAGATGTATGCAACAAGATTGGTCATGACAGGAGACCTTCCCACCTGCACCTCGAAGAACTTTGCTTTGGCAAGAGAGTATTTTCCCATCATGAATGAAAAAGTTGCATTTTTGAAGTGGCTGGCTGTGCATTGGTTTTGTACGTGGCATGTGTTCTTTGCATAACACCCAGAGGCATCAGGTACTAAGAAGTCTGCGATACTCTACCTGCACTGCTGAGCAGGCCTGACCAATGTTAAAAAACCTTTGGTATATCACTTCAGACACTACATTAAGGTGACTATAGGAATGGGGACTTCAGTTAAGTCTGGAAAAACAGCAGTTAATTAGGACTATTAAAAGAGTTATAGATTAATTTTATTACTAGAGATTATATCTCTGATTTTTTAACAGTTTGAGAAATGAACACGATTTTGGCTGTGCTCCATCATAGTTAAAATAATAGCCTGGGATTGTGCAATTTCAGCCGTGTCAACATGGTTGATCGAACTGTGCTTGCACATTCTTAGGCGTTGGGCTTTGTCCTGTTGTGACATTTAGACTTCAACATTTCAATGTGTACATCTCAAAATGTACCTTTTTTTTTTTTTTACACTGACATTTCCCTAATTAAAATTCACTGTAGAGGCACCTGTTTGCAAAGCTGCTCCTGTGATTGCTAATGGTTTGGGACAGCAGATGTGCTAGCACATGGGAGGTCAACAAATTAAAGCTGGAGGAGAGATGGTCTCTTTGGTGGGATGTGGTGATAATCTGTGATAGTCTTGGAAAGTCTGCTTTTAGGGCAAAGAGCAGTTTTAACCTGAAAAGCTTGAATTGTTCCCCACACCTTTAGTAACCATAACAAAAATTGAGGAGGCAATGTAAACTTCTAGGTACTTTTAAAACAACATGAACAACTTCTGTGGATTAAGAGGTTTTGTAACTTCATGCTGTGAAGTGTGATGGATTACTGTCTTATATTGTAATTAGTCTCCTATTTTCAATGAACTTTCTACTCTGAGACATAAATGGGAAAAAGGAAAACTTTACCTTTTTTTTGTATTTGTAACATCAGTCTAAAAACCAAACATAAGTGCAGAAAGTTATTGTGATTTCTTACTGTGTGTACTAAATCATGTCATTCCTCTAAAGTGAATTTGTATCAGTGTGACCTTTTTAGTTACCCTGTAATGCTGCAAGTAAAGTCACTAAGAGTGCTGTAAGAGTATTGATTATAAGCACTTCATACTTTACAAAAACATAAGAGCTGAACTTAAATTTGAAGCAGTTCTTACTAAATTATTCTCATTTATGCAATACGACACTTCACTAGTACAGAACATGTTTTTCTGTTGCTGTAAGAGCAAGAATGTTCTTAGTTGCAAGTGTTTACTTGAATTTTAACAGCTTCTACTTCTCTTAAAAGCTGCTTCTGTTAAAAGCCCTAGTACAACAGGTCTAATTGCCAGCACTTATGAAGGGCAATATTCTCTAAAAAAATTAAATAGCCCTGAAACCTAGTCCACCCCATCTGGATATCTACCTGCCTCAAAAGTTTGGTGTTAGCTTTTAGAAATACAGGATACTCTGTAGCAACCTGTTCTGTCAAGAGGAACTGGAAGATGGGTCAGAGTGAAACACTTATTTCCTGCCACTGTGCTTTCTGCCAGCATTCAAAATACAAGCTAAAGAGTGCCGACTTTATTTTTTTGTCCTTGATTAATATTAGAATATATCTGATGGATCCAAACCAGTTCAGTTGTAACCTTCACTTCAAGCTGTCTTCCCTGTTCAACAGTTCGTGTTCTCTGAGGAGTTAAGACACCAGAGACTTTCTAGTTGAATAACTCTTTTCTTGAAGTATGCTGTTGCATATTCATGGCAATAGATGAAGTACCCAATTTTATTGCCACAGACTCAGATATGTTATAAATCTGAATTTTTAAAGTGAATGTAATGCCTACCATAAATTATGTCTGTTGTTAATGGGCTTTTTTTTTTTTTGTAAATAGGAAAAACATTTAGTAAAGTGAATTTAGGCTTCCTCAGATTCCTGTTTGTTGTGCTTACAGTCAACAGTCACAAATGCTATATGTTGTGCCTCACCTCTCTGGTCTATTATTAACCAACCCATACAATGCACATCCAAGCCGTGCAAATAGATTTGTGCAAGTGACAGAGGAGAAGGAATGTAAATGTCTATGTGTTTTGCAGACTTCGGGGAAGACCAGAAAGGTCAAAGCTAATCTTCAGTTAGTTCCATTAGGTTGCCTTTCCAGGACTTGAAACAAACTGATCCACAGCTAATTAACAACTTACTTTCAAGTGTACTCATTCTGGGATGCTACTGGATGCTTTCCTTATTGAGAAAAGGGTCTTCCATATTCTAAATAGCTTAACAATATTTACCATAACCCTTAAGTTAATGCCTTAGGATCTTATGTGGCCATCCCTCAGAACAACAAGGGAAAGAGAGGACGGAATCCCAAAAGGGTCAGTTCTGGACCAAAAAAGATAGTTAGCAAAGTTGTTGAAAATTCAGGTTATGTCTGAAGCTCATCAAGATTTCCCTTGTTTCAAAGACTACTCTCTTTGGTCCTTGGGCTTGTTCCAGCTTACTGTGGGAAAATGGGTATTTAATTCCTTGATCCAAGATAGGTTCTCCAGAAAAGCAGAAGCAAAGCTAAAAAGGATGTGAAAAAACTCTAAGCAGAGGCAGCCAGAAGCATGGAAAAGAGCTTTCAAATTGTGATGCCAAAATTCCAGCAGTTCTGTTAGTGGATGATGTGCTTCTTTAAAACTTACGCAAAACGTGGACAGCAGGAAAAAACCTGGAACTAAAAAATTCTAATTAATTAAAAGTGATCTTTGCCTTGGGTTGGCTGAGTTTCCACAGTCAACACAGTGAAGTGTTGTAAATGTTATGAGAACTTCATCCTAAGTCTTAGAGAAGATTTTGAGAGCCTCTGTTCTAAGCTTCTATTCAGAGTAAAATTCTGTAGCTTTCACCTAGAAAAGGAAATGAAGAGGTGCAAGAAAGTGATGATCAAATTTCCTTACTCATGATGGAATTTGAAGTAATTATTAAATGGATCGAAATAATTTACTTTATACTCTGCTCCACACAAACATTTTGCCTTAGCAGTGGCTCTAGATGAGAATTTTTATAGTGCAGTGAAACAATTGGACCATGCCTGGTACTTAAAGGCAAACTTGGTTTTCTTGGAAAGTGAAAAAAAATCTTTGTAAAATTCCTGAAGATGCTGCTGTAAGCCATTTCTTTCACCTCCTGTCTCCGAACTAACAGGTACTTTCTTTCATTGATAAAGATCTATTTTGTGAAATATGCCACCTGGGAATGTTTTTGTTTTACTTCAGTGTGCTGAAATTGTGAACATCTTACAGCATTGTCTGGTTCTTTTGCTTCTATAAACTTTGAAGAGTAGACAAGCCTTAAAAGGTCTAACTGGGTAATATGTGGTATGATTTCAGAGAGTCTTATCAAAGCATTATGACCATGTTTGCTGCTGTTTGACAGAATTTTCTCTGTAGATGGTTCCTGACCATGAAAGGTCTTTCAATAGTATGGCAGTGTTGTGGCAGATGTCACAAAAATATTCCTCCTCAAATTCTGATCGTTAGTTTTTCCACATGCCCTGTTTAGAAATTGCATGAATCGGGTGAGTCTGCCCTCTGTCAAGTGATCCCTCAGCAGAAGGGATTTTGAAGAGTTGAATAAACTTGCAAAATCAAAGTTATTTGAAGAAATGGAATCCAGCAGTAGTCATAGTAACAGGTACCAGGAAGTTTTTGGACTGGAAGCTTATTTGAGATTGGATGATTTTGGGCAAAGTAGTCTTCTCCAAGTGTCCACACTCTGGCAGTAAGAAGTGTCAGGCTCTGGGACAGACCTCATTCCTAATAGAATCTTGTTTCTATTAGCCTCCAAGAGAGGTGAAAGTTGCTTTGAACTTCTTTAGTGTTTGTCCAAGAATTCATATACAATATAGTGGAAGTCACCAAACTGGCAGTAAAAAATGGAATGAAGTGAGAAACTCTGTGCTTGGTATAGGATCCAGAGGACATGCACTTCAGCTTCTTAAACAGCTGAGCCTGGTGGTGGAGGAGAGGAGACAGAGTGTTGGAGGCATTTAGTGTGAATCTTCCATCAGACATGCTGATATGCTCTTCTTGACCTAAATGGACCTATTTGCTCACCAGAGTTTTGGGAATACTACATTTTTCTTCATGTTGATACTTGTCTTTGAATATTGGCAGACCCTACAGATTCTGGACTGTTCTTTGTTAATCTAGACAGCTGTTCAGCTGGGCTCTATCAGCCCTCTTAAGAATCAGATTTTTTGGCAGGTATTTTTTGTTTATCTCTCAGCTGCCTATGTATTGTTGCTTCCACCCTTTGACCTCGCATTTTGTGCATTATGCTTGAGGAAAAGAGCATTACCTCATGTTGAGATATATAAATATTAGTATACTATCAGTAGAACCAGTGTAATGTTTTCATTTCCTGGAGAAGAAGGGAGCAGAAGGATATGAGAGTGTCATTTCACTTTGAACACTGGTATATATTTCTCTCTCTTTTCAGCTACTAACATGAATTTGCAAGCCAAGTGTTTCACCAAGGCTGTGCTCTTTTGTACTGTATGGACTGAAATGCAGCGTTCAGCTCCAACAAGGCTGTATTCTTAATTTGTTTCTGTCCTAAAGTTACAGAAGAGCCCTACTGCATGTATTACTGATGCAATTGGAAGACTGTAAGTTCAAGATATGAAAGAAATCAGGTGCTCTGATACTACTGCAGCTTCTGTAGATTTGCAGAATAAAACGATAACTCTAAACATGAGGGAACAGTTAATGAGGTAAGATTTAGGAGGGAATGAGAGTTACTTTGTTGTGTAAATACTAACTTTTTAATCTTCAATTTAAGTTGCACATGCTTTTTCCATTGCTGCAAGATATATGGATGCAGTTGACAAGATGCATGTGTTGAAGGTGCCAGTAGGGAGAAGACCCCAAGAAAGAATATCCAACCACTTCGTTGACTGAAGAGGGTGGAAAGACTCTTCTTAAGCAATTGGAAGCTCATCTGGACTCGCTGCCAGCAGAGGTCTTTACAGGTAAGAAAAGATTGCACTGTTCACATCTTCAATGTAATCTTTTTCCTTCTGTGCATTTAGTCACAATCTTTTCACTATTCCAGAGTTGAATGGAAGATCTGGGGGGAGTGTAGCACCAATAAACTAAGCAGTTTTAAATATCAAACATAGAATCATTAACATTGGAAAAGACCTCCAAGATAATCAAGTCACAGCCTTTGATTGAATGCCACCTTGTCAACTAGTCCAGTCATTTCTTGAGCACTTCTATAGATGTTGACTCCACCATCTCCCTGGGCAGACCTTTCCAATGCTTGACAACCCTTTCAGTGAAGAAACTCATCCTGCTGCTCAACCTGAAATTCCCCTGGCACAACTTGATATTGTTTCCACTTGTCCTGTCTCTGGTTGCCTTGAAGAAGAAACCAACTCCCACTTCACTACAACCTCCTTTCAACAATAAGGTCTCCCTTGAGCCTCCTCCAGACTAAACAACCCCAGCTCCTTCAGCCACTTCTCATAAGACTTGCACTCCAGACCCTTCACCACCTTCAGTGCTCTTCTCTGGATGTGCTCCAGCACCTCAATGTCGTCTTTGTTGTGAGGGGTCCAAAACTCAACACAGTGCTTCAGGTGTGGCCTCACCAGTGCTGAGTGTGGGGAGGAGTCACTGCCCTGGTCCTGCTGGCCACATTATTTCTGATACAGGCCACAGTGCCATTGGCCTTCTTGGCCACCTGGGCACACTGCTGGCTCATACTGAAGCAGATGTTGACCAGCACCCCCCAGGTCATTTTCTGATGGGCAGATTTCCAGACACCCTTCCCCAGCCTGTAGTACTGCTTGGGGTTGTTGTGACCCAAGGGCAGGACCCAGCACTTCTCCTTATTGAACCTCAAACAGCTGGCCTCTCTTGGCCCAGATTACTCTCCAGAGCCTTTCTGCCCTCCAGCAGATCAACTAAGTTGGTGTCATCTGCAAAGTCACTGTAGGTGCATTTGATCCCCTTGTCCATACCATCAGTAAAGGTACTAACAGGACTGGGCCCAGCACTGACCCCTGGGGGACACCACTGGTGACCGGCCGCCAGCTGGAGGCAGCCCCGTTCACCAGCACTCTCCGGGCCCGGCCCTCCAACCGGTTCCTGACCCAGCATGGAGTGCCCCTGTCCAAGCCATGAGCAGTCAGTTTATCTAGGAGAATGCTGTGGAAAACAGTATCAAAGTCTTTCCTGAAGTCCAGATAGACTACCTCCACGGCCTTTTCCTCATCCTCTAGGCAGGTCACCTGGTCTCACCTGGTCATAGGAGGAAATCCGGTTAGTCAGGAAGGATTCACCTTTCCTAAACCCTTACTAGCTGGGCCTGATCCCTTGGTTGTCCTGTATGTGCTGCATAATGGTACTCAAGATGGTCTTTTCCATAACCTTTCCCAGCACTGAGATCAAGCTGACAGGCCTGTAGGTCTCCAGATCTTTCTTCCAGCCCTTCCTGTGGATGGGCATCACATTAGCCAATCTTCAGTCATCTGGGACCTCTGTGGTTAGCCAGGACTGATTATAAATAATGGAGGGTGGCTTGGCAAGCTCTTCCACCAGCTCCTTCATCACCCTAGTATGGTCCCATGTGGTCCCATAGACTTGTGGTCATCTAAGTGACTCAGCAGGACTTGCTTCCTCCTGGATTGCAGGGGGTCTCTTCTGCTCACCATCCCTGTCTACCAACTCAGGGTCTAGTTGCCCTGGGAATTCCTATTCTTACTGTTAAAGGCTGAGGCAAAGAAGGCATTAAGCACCTCAGCCTTTTCCTCATCCTTGGTGACAGTGTTCCCTCCTATGTCCAATAAAGGATGGAGATTTTCCTTGGCCCTCCTTTTGTTGTTATGATCTTTCACAGCACTTATCATATTGAGTTCTAGCTGAACTTTTGTCTTTTTAATTTTTTGTCTACATGACCTAACAATATCCTTGTACTCTTCCTTAGCTGCCTGTCCCTTCTTCCAAAGTTCATAAGCGCTCTTTTTGACCCTGCATTCCAGTGAAAGTTCAGCCAGGCCATTCTTCCACACTGGCTTGTCTTTTGACACAGGGATGGCCCACTTCTGCGCCTTTAAAATTTCCTTCTTAGAGGGTGTCCAGCCTTCCTGGACCCTTTGTTATTAAGGACTATTTCCTAAGGGAACTCAGAACCAGTATCCTGAACAGGCCTAAGTCTACCCTTGGGTAGAGGTTTTCTTGACTGACCCTCTTCCTGGCTTCTCCAAGAACAAAAACTCTACCACTCCATGGGCGCTGTGCCCAAGACAGTCTCTGACCACCACATCTCCCCCTAGCTCTTTTCTGTTTGTAAACAGCAGGTCCAGCAGGACCTGATAGGTCTGTCCTGAAGGCTCAGTTACCAGGAAGTTATCATCTTCCACACAATCCAGGAACCTCCTAGGCTGCCTCCTCAACACTGTGTTGTTTCCAGCAGAGATCCAGCAAGTTAAAGTCTCCCACAAGAACAAGGGCTAGTGATCATGAAATGCCACTCAGCTGCTTATAGAATAACTCGTCTGCCTCTTCATCCTGGTTGGTTGGTCTATAGCCAATTCCAACTAGGATATTGGAACCATAGGCACAAAACCTTACCATCATTGTCCTTGAGCTCTACAGTCAAAACATTCCCTAATGTACAGAGCTATGCCACCTCCCTCTCCTTCTGAGGAGCTTATAAACCATTATTTCAGCATCCAATCATGGGAGTCATCCCATCTCATTTCTGTAACAACAAATACCTCATAGCTTTCCTACTGCACGGTGCTTTACAGCTCCTTCTTCTTGTTACCCTTAAAGTTTCCATTGATGTAGATGCACTTCAGCTGGGCTGTCAATTGAACTCCTAACTCAGGCATGCTGCCCCCAGGCTCATCTCTAGAGAGCCTGATCTTATCCCCTTCCTCCTTCAAACACAGTTTAAAGCCCTCTCAATCAGCCCACAGCCAACTCACAGGCTAGAATCCTTTCCCTGCTTTTAGACAGGCAAACTCCAGCTGTCTCCAGCAGGCCTGGTGTTGTATAAACCACCCCATGATCAAAAAAGCCAAAATTCACCAATGGCACCAGTCTTCTGTTGATCAAGTAGGTTCTCCTGCTTCTTTCAGCATTCTTCCCTTCTGCTGTAGGGATTTTACAGAGAGGGTAATAAGGCATTTGAATGGGCTGCCCAGGGAAGTGGTGAATTCTCTATCCCTGGAGGTTTTTAAGATGAGACAGGATGTGGCACTTAGTGCCATAGTCTAGTAACCACAGTGGTAGTGGATCAAGGGTTGGACTTGATGATGTCAGGGGTCCTTTCCAACCTGGCTGATTCTGTGATTCTCTGATTGAGGAAAACACCACCTGTGCTCCTGTCCATTCATCCAGTCGTTCCATTGTCCTGAAGTCCCTTCTTATTGCTCTAGGACTTCTCTCATCAACCTTGTTGCTGCTCATCTGGACAACCAGAAGCGGGTAATAATCAGAGTGCCAAATTAATCCGGGGAGTCTTCTAGTAATATCTGTTATACAGGCCCCTGGGAGGCAGCAGATTTCCCTGTGGGATTGGTCCAGTCAGCAATACAGTGCCCTCAATTCCCCTGAGGAGGGAGTCGCCTGCTACAATTACTGCTCTTTCTTTCTTAACACCTGTAGTTGTGATGTGTCCTGTTGACTGACTTCCTGTGGGCAACTCCCCAGGTAGACCACTACCACTTGCCTGACCCTTGAGTTCCAGAGCCTCCTATCTGTTCCATGAAGGGCATGTGGGAAGGCCAGGAAGGCAGGGAGGGGATTCTTCTGCCACCCTGAGCAGGGATCTGTTTCTGTTCCCACCGTCTTTTAGATCCCCTCCTGCCTGATGGCAAGACAGTCAGAGCTGCTTTGATTCTTGTCCAGGTTCCATCCGCAGCATTTTTCTCGGACTCAATTTGTCTTTCACATTCCCTGATAGTCCTCAGCCTCTCCACTTCCTCTTTAAGCTCTGATGCTTAATACTGCTGCATGTTTGTCTTACAAAGGCAGAGATCCCTCATGAGGTAGGAAAATCCATCATGTGCTTTTGTGTGTGTGAACAGTACTTATATTCCCACTTAAGCATGGCATTTTTCATGCCCCTCTTCCCTTATGGTATATTTCTAGTATGGGTGCTTTTGTAAATAACATAGTGGATTTTTAATAGCAGTAGGTTACAAACATTCTAAATTGTTCACATCTACAACAGCTCCCTAAAAGCACACATCAGAAAATGATAAACTGTTGTACAGTGCTAAAGATATACAAGAATAGCTACATGGGAAGGGTGAAACAGTGCTCTTGGGCTTTTTGTGTGAGAGTTAGGATGTTGTGCTGGGTATCTCCTGTGTCAGGTCTGGCAGGTTTAAGGAGCCTGTCACTCCTTGTCCCTGTCTTTCCTTGGAGAAAAAGTGGAAACAAGACAAAACCCAACTCCAGAGGTAGCATGGGACCACAGACATCTCTGGTTGATGGTCCAGAGTTTGCTTGGTCTCTTCAGTATAAGGACTCTCTGTACAAGGTCAAGCTGGTGTTGGAGGATATAGTGAGTCCTGGTGCAGCTTCCCTTTAACCACAGAGCCATTGCACATGTAGTTCACTAACTGGTGCATATCCTGGCAGTAAGGCAGGCCTAGCCTTAAATAGTAATGGACAACTACTCTGTCAGAAATTTGTTAAAGTTTTTTTGGGAATCTAGTGTTTAAATAGATGATAAAAGTTGATACAACTTACTGGAATAGTCTTTTTGTTTAGCTGGCTTTTTTTTTTTTTTAGGAGCCTTTACCCTAGGAAGATTCAGAAATTCACTGTAAAAAATAGAAAATTGAGTGATAATTGTAACTTCAAAAGCGAAAAATGGCATTGAGTTAGAATTGTATCATTTTTTCTAGAACTGAAATAATTCTAATAATGGTAATTTTTTCCCATGTGATATTAGCCCTTTTTTTCTGTAGCTATTTATACATTCTACACTTCAAACTGAGTTTGTAAA